AGATAACTCTGTATTTTACAGGCTGCAGCAGAATGGATGCTAATATCAAAACACAGCACAAACCACAAAACACAAAAAATCCCTTTACCTTGCAGCACATGAGCTCAAAAATATAATTCTGACACTAGGGGTCAGTATTAAAACATATTACATCTACACAATACCGCCAGCAGCATTCTATTGTTGATTTCCTCCTTAAAAAAAAAAACTTACATTATAAAGAACTATAAAACCATAAAAAAGATAAACCCTACAGTAGATCATCACCTCTTTATGTTATTAGGTGTAGCTCTCATGCTAGAAATTTGTGTTCCTGTTCTCACAAATTAACACATATATTCATGCAAATGTATTATCTTACGTAATATCAACGCTTCAATATTTATATGAATTAGGTTCCATCTACAGTCTTGAAAGAGAAAAGCTATTATTATGTTTTCTATTTTTTAATAGGGAAGATTACTACCTAGTGATATTACTACCTAATGGTAGTAATCACTACTTCCTAATAATAACAACAATATTTTGAATGTAAGAAAACTGGACGTTCTTTAAATTCATTCCTTGACAGGCATACCCATCTTACAAACAGTAAAAAGTCTGCTGTGGGTACTGAAAATCTCAGTTTAAAAAGGTGACTGTTACTGCAGGTGAGCATTATCCACATGGAACAAACTGAGGATGTATTTTGAGTCGTTAGATCAGTGTATGAATTTCAGTTTGGAATACATAAAATATCCACTGAAGTCAAGGGAACAACTCGCTTTCTCCTCGCTGGACACTGTCCATAACCAAAAAGCTTCCAACCTATCTTCCTATCCCAAGCTTCTCCCAAATCTTGACAATCTTGATACATTTAAGAAAGCATACATTCAGATGCTGCGCTAATGCCAGGAACTGTTTATATGGACATAATTGTGAATGTAAATAGATCCACTGATTCCTGTGAAGAATTTAAGAATTTGAATAATATAAAACTTGCTGATTAACAGACTAAGCTAGCTACATTTTGGGATGATACTTTGCTATCTAAACACAGATATAATACAGAAATATGTCAAATGACAGTAATTATAAACCCCAGGAGAAATATTCTGCCGTATCATAAATCTGTCACGTACCACAACTTCCTGCAGCCCTTGGTACAGATGAAGAAAAACCATCCCTTTCCTTCTTGCCCCTGACCAAACTCTAACTGAATGCTATAAATTTTGCACTTAAAATAAACAATTTAGGACAAATATTACTGAGGCTGTTAATTAGTTTTCATGTCCAGTACCAAGTTCTAAATTCCAGAGCATATGTTTTTCTTTAGTGGCAAATCCATTAGGTGCCCAGAATTCAGACACTGCCAGATTTATGAAGGCAGCTATTAGAAATGGCATTTGTGCTACAACAATACTGAAGAAAAGAGCTGGTCAAATTAATGTCTGACTAACTGGTATGCTTGAGATCTTATTTCAACTTGCTACTTCTAACTAACATCATATTCGTATTTAACACAATTAGCTTATCCTAAAATGAAAAGCAAACATAATTGATTATACTTTAAATGGGAAAAAATAGGCAGAGGTCGAGATAAGACATTTGTTCCAGGGTTAGATGTGTGGCACAGAATCACTCATTTTCCTGCCCAATAGATGACGCTGCTGTTTCTTTGTTCCCATGTAATTGCTGGATTTGTGCATCACGTCCTTACTGAAGTGACTGCGCCCACATTGCCCTGTGCTTGGACACAGCAGAAACAGGTTTCATGGATTCTTTAAATGGCATTTTGCTGTACAAATAAGTGTATACAGTTTTCAGCAAAGCAAGTTAGTGTTCTGGATTAAAAGATGTGATGGAAAAAATGGATGGAAATACCCAGTTGAACATCATTCTCTTTATTTTCCAGAAGCAGACCACAGAACCAAATTCTGACATATATATCAAGGATGACCTCGGAGCTATACACACATAGGGACATAACATGTTAGAATAAGTACATGGGATTTTAAACTGCAGTATACTTTGCAAATTTATTTAGTCTAATTATTAACAAATTTACAAAGAAGTTATTATCAATATAGAGCAGCATTAAAACTTCATCCTTATGTTATGATAAAATTCTTATAAAAGCATCATCTGGGGGAATCAGTCTGTAAACTAATGAGGCATTTGACCAATGTGGTTTTCTCTATGTGCTACTGAAGTATGATACAACAACAGCTCTGCAGCAAAAACTTAAATGCTAAAATATTTTAGAAGTTATTTATAGTAAATGTTATGTGTTCTGGTAGAGATCATATTGAAAATCCATGTTTTCCAGCAAACCTGAAAACTCAAACCACTTGTATGGGATTCATGTTCTCTTCTGCTCTAGATCTTTGGTTAAAATACTCTGTGAGGCAGAGCAATTAATTAATTTATTTATTTTTGCCAAATCGTGGTTGCTTGGGGATTTGTGTGAAATGACAAGCTGGTCTCTGTCCCGTTCATCGTGAACAGGTGTTCTAATTACCAAATCTCCACCATATTTGACACCTTTATTAGCTGTCTCAGTTGAAAAACAAAGGATTGATTGGGCAGGGTATAGAACTAGCCTTTCATTGCTGTGGGGAAGCACCTAAAGGTCAAGGTTAATATACATTAGTGGGGGGTAGTATTGCCCATTACCTATGCTGTTCTTGTGCCATTAATCAATGGAAGACTTTATCTTTATGAGCTAGCTATTGTGAGAGCCTTAATTACACACAATTTGTTTTAAATTGTATTTTTTTTCCATGTTATATGAAAAGCAGGCTACACTTCTTGAGCAAATATTCCTAACAAGAACAACAAATCTCCAGCAAAAATAGTGATGTCTCATACTCAGTTTATATTCTGAAATATGTACTGTACAAAATGAAAGGGCAAGGTACACATCCTTCAGTCAATGTAATGCATACAAAAATGCTCATGAAATGAAATATGGCAGAACACATGTATATGAGTTCAACAAGATTGAATTTTTGACTAGCCAGTAAAAAGTGAAAGCATTTACAGCAAATAGTCTTCCCCATTTCTGTGGCCATTTGTTCTTGCTGGCTTCTGTCTACCTGCTACTACTACCTTTATGATTTAATATTCTTGGAAGGTTTATAACAAGAATCTAACACATAACCAATAAAAGGGTGCTAGTCTTGTTAGTCTCATTTGGGATCAGAATACTGTCAACATAATTGCACAGAAAAGTCACATTATTATAAAAGTGTATCAGCATCTTCATTATATATACACTTATTTTCGGAGGTGTACATGCACACAAAACACTCTAGAATGAAATATGATTATGGTGACTCAATCTGGAATGAATTTTCTCTAAACTATTTTTTTTTCCTATTATGTGTATGTAAAATAAATATGGGCCAGATAGTCAGTCAGTGGGCTGGAACTATACCAATTTGCATCAGCTAAGGGTTCAACACTATATATTCATTTACAGATCCTAGTCACACTTGGACCCTTCTATGACTTATTAATGGTTTTGATTTAGGAATGAAGCTTTGAAGTAATTATATAATCACATGGCATTCATCCAATATACATATTTAATGTAAATTATTGCTTCCTGATTTTCACAGAAGACATGTGATTAGATTATCTGGTGCTTCCATATTGTACTTGAAGCTGGATTGCAAAGAGAGAGAAGTATATGTGAGCCACCTTTACAATTTCCTGACTCTGCCCAGCAAGAAACAAATACGGATTTCATTATAATGCAGAGGAACAGAGACAGCTATTTCCCTGCCTGAGGTCTCAGAGAATTGTTCCAGCAGTCAAGCTAAACAATGTCCTGACTATCTCCTTGGCAAAAGAAATGGAATGAGTTGGCATAAGCTGCTATACCAACTCAAAACTCCCTTTTCACAATGTGAAACCTCAAAGGGCTGCACTACGAAAAACAGCTGTAGCAGAGCTGAAAGTTTGACCCCTAGACTCCAATACTGTGCTCGTTTCATGTGTCTATGACTCCCACTGACACCAACTGAAGAGTCCAGAACATGAGGAGAGCAGAGTATCAGATAAAAAAAAAATCTACTATGTGAATCTGAGAACAGAGTATTATTCTCTTGCATCAAATTATGGCTCCATCTGGTAACATTAAGTGAATACTGGTAACTATTAGAGCTGAATCAATAAATTGAAACAAATAATTTATTTTGTGAGTTATTTTATTTTTTCACTTCAAAGAATGCCTGTGAATTGATTACAACTTTCTTAAGTATATTCCAGGAAACTTTTAAGGAATTTTATTTTATGGTTTGTAAGTTACATGTGATTGCTCACATACGTCACACACTGCTCTGTTTCTTTTCCCTGAAGAGGACTTTATTAATAGAGTTGGGATAACAGAACTCTCCAACTGACAGCAGAATTTAGTTGATACAACTGTTTTGGAACATATATTCAGCTAACCATCCTTTGTTAGTTATTTTGGATACTGAAGTTGCCCTTCTTTTCTTTCAGATAATGCACTATAAGCATTCTCCATTAATTGGGAAACGACAAAAAAAAAAAAAAAAAACCATGACAATGCCAATATTCAGAAGATCTGAGAGCTATCTCCCTCAAAGACTGGATTCAGATCAGTCAAAAAAGTTGTACGAACCATAAAATTTTAAACTGTCTTAATGATTTGGGATTTAAAAAAAAAATTCCACATCAAATGCTTTAGATTACAAGGCATATTTTGCTCATATGTTCTCTTCAAAACATGATTTATATCTCTGCTTTCATTACATCTGCCTCATACCTTTCCTTGATGAAGCAAATGTTAGTAGAGACAGCATAACTCTTGTAACACTGATGAGAACCAACCTATTCCAGATGACTTATAAGAACTAAAAAGCACCTTACAGTCAAATTCAAACAGACCTGCCTATCCCAGGATAAGGACAAGACAAGGCATTTTTAAAAAATCAAAATATTATCACTTGTGTTCAGATTAGTGTTTTAAATAATAATTACTGCAGACTCACCTTGCATTACTACGACTGGCTTCTGTCAAACTAGCTAATGCTGTCACTGCAGCTTCTTTTACCTCTTCATTATCACTGCTTAGCAACTGTACCAGCTGGGGAATCCCTTTGAAAAAAATAATTTTATGTATGAACCTTTAAGTAAACCATAGCAGTCTCCTAAAAAAAGGAAAAGCACAAATTCTCAGCTCACCCTTTCCCACCTTACTTACCCTGGAGCCCAAGTGCACATTTGCTATCTGCATTCTCACACATGGCAGAAATTGCTTGGGAAGCAGCAACTTTAACTTCATCATTGCCAGTTTCCAAAAGCTTTAGGAGACATTTCTCAACCTCTTCCTCATTTAAGATTTTTCTGATTTCAGCTTTAAACAAGAAATAACAATGGCATTAATCAGCGTTTGTTTTCCAAATCAGTGAAAGGACATGAATTTGATTTCATATAGCTGCTGGAAATACTTGGTAACAGGGGCATCAGCCATTTAGAAATGTGCACAAAGGACCTGAGCCAAATCCTATTATAGAATATCCTGAGTTGGAAGGGACCCACAAAGATCACTGAAGTCCAACTCATGTATTAGACTTCAGTGAACTCTGAATCAAGCCCAAATGATGACTATTAAATACAGCTTTAAACATACATAGCCCAACAGAAGGCAAAGTTTGTTCTCTAAAAGACTTTAAAACCGCAGAATGTATACAGGCTTGATGGAAACAGCTTTTTCAGTTCAACAGATCATACTTACTCAGGATCATGCTTAACTTCAGTTTATGCTAACAAAGTCCAAATGCATAAAATTGAGGAACATACTAGTAAATGAACAGTTGAACTTGGTGGAGTATCGGTTAACATACTCCACTGTAAAAGCCAACATACTGATACAAAGCCAAAAAAAGGCAAGGGGCATTACATAGGAAATTTTAAATTCTGCACAGCCTGCAGGTCTTCATCAATGTGCAGTTTGCAGAGAATTTCAATGTTGTAGTTTAGGCTGGTGACACAGGGCTCCCTGCTGACCTACTCTGCAATGATCGGCAGCAGCTGGGAAGGACATAGATGTTCCCTTGTAACAACACACAGCTTCGACAAAGTATCAACAGACATCTGTATGTGGATACTAATTAACTAATAAACTCTCTCATCCCGAAATGGATGAGATCAGAAATCCAGGTGTTTGTTAGAAAGAGCCCTGAAAGAAACTTTCTCATCCAGAAAGGCACTGGACAGCACAGAAGCTGTACAGTGATGAGGGTCAATAAACATTTAACCGTATGCATAATTTTAGGCAGATTAATTACATGCTTGAAGTTCTATCTAAATGGTAGAATTTTTGAATGTATTAAAAAATTCATGAACTGAGAAGTCAGTGGGACTTCAACACACTTAGAAATTTTACCAATGCTTACTACTGCTCTCAGGGATCTCTCCCTTGTTTGGACTGTCATCCTCCAAATTAAAAAAATTTAAAAGGAAAGTATCATAAGTGTGCTTTTAGATAAACCTGAATCTGTAATGAATAAAAGTAAACAAATACAAGTCCACAAAGTCAATGAAAAGGGAATTGGATTGAAAATCTAGTTACAGCAGAAATGACTCAATGCACATAGGTGAGATGGTACAGTTGCTTTCTTCCCTCTAGCTCAATTTTGAACATTTTTAGAATCATCAGTTACGCAAACAAAATCACAAAGCAAAGGTGCAACAAAAAAACCAGAGAGGATTTTAAGTGTTAGCAGAACCTTGGCCACAACCTTGATGCATACTGGCCAGCTCTCAAGAGAAGGCCTTAGTTGGGATTAGAGACCATTTGGAGAAGTTATCAAGTATGCTGCTGGCCTGTTGCTTGACAAAGTAGTCCATAATCCCTAATAGTGATTTCTAGAGGTTCTTCATGACTCAGTAATTTGTTTTTTGTACAGCAAGTTGCTTACTACTATTCAAATTTTCTTAAAAAATATTCTTTCTTTTAAAGGCAGCTATGATGATGAGTGTTTCATTTTAAAGATAATTTATGCCTATATGAAATAATAATATGAGTAATTAATTTGGATGAGTGAAAATACTGATTTAAAATATTTTAAACAGAAAAATACTTTTTTGATAATGTGGAAAAAAGAGTTTGAATTTGAACTTAGGTAGACAGGCTGATGAAAATTATTAATATTTTAACAATCCAGGCACCAATTCTATATAAGGGATGAACATTTTCTGATGATCCTCTCTGTCTGTATGAGCTGTTCCTTTGTTTCCATTACTACAGAAAAGAAAGAATGCACAATTAAAAAGCATCCTTTCTACTGAAGTACTTCTCACGTGAGCGCCAACACCATTTTTACAGTGATGATTTTCTTAACCCCTAAGTAATTTGAACACGATTGATTTAACATGAACCAAAATACTCAAGCACACAACTAAAAGAGTTTGGAGTACTAACAGTTCTGTCTGGTTTTTCATGCATTGACCCCATTGTGAGACAACCTTTGTTTTTCAGTATATTTTCCTATTTGCCCTTATTACCCCAAAATCATGATCAGAATTCTCCTGATTACCTATTCAGGTCACTGTCACCACTTTATGGAATTACCTATACCAATTTCAAATGAAAAAAAAAAAATTTAAATAGTACCATGAGCTCTCACTGATCTTGAGTTGAGATTATCCAGATAAACGAAAATCTGTCTTATGAAATGCATATGTTAATCAGGCTACAGGGTGTGTTTAGTGTGCTCCCTTTTGAAAGGATTTGCGTTGAGATACAGAGAAAAAACGGGGAGAGGTTCAAACCAGAAGTTTGGCAGAGTGAGGCCAAACTCCAGTGAGAATGATCATCACTTTCTCCACACATACTCCACAGCATTTTGTTGTTGCTGGTGTGTCTGGCACTGACAGTGGAAATCAGGCCCTCCTTAATCAACAGTCCAGATAATCCACTCACAGACATTCAATAATTTATAGCATTAAATTATATTTTGCATTCTGAAATGACTGCATTATTTGCTGGGCAAGGAGGGAATCACAGTATAATTCACCACTATAATTCTGAGCGTACAAAATAAAATCATCAATAAATTAATATATTAAATTCAAAATTATGTTACTGAACAAAAAAATTTTCAGGGGCAAAGGCATAATGATTATGTATAGAAATGTGATCAATTTTAATGTACTTAAACAGAGCAGCATCCTAAAGATGCTATTTCAAATTGAATATCATGTTTGTACCATGTAATTTATTCTGATATTGAGAATAGCTCTTAAGGGATAAATCCATCTTATAACAACACCACCAAAGCTACAGGAGTCCCTTTGCAAAGGGCTGAAAGGGACATAAAACAAAACTGTTTGCTATGATCAAATCTATCAGGAGAAAAAAAAAAAAAACAAAACAAAACACCAAAATTAAATTCCATCTGTCAACAACAATAATTTCAAAACCAGATACTGCTGTATACTCATCTTACAGGATTAAAAAACCAGCTCAATACATGTTCTGTCATTCCAGAAGGAACTTTTTCATTCCAATGAAAAGCAGTCCTTTTTTTAACCAAGTAAGCAGGAAATGTTGGTAAACTGCAATCACGATTATCAAACCTGAAGGATGTGTGCTACTGTATGGCTACTGCAAATTTAATGGAAAAGTCACTACAGAACTTAGAGTTGTATTGTATTATTTTGGATTCCCATCAAGGCAAGTACTAGTACTGTATACATTAGTGCTGCAGTTTGGATAGGCTGTTTGGTATGTTTACAACCAGAATCCAAAGAAACAAGAACTGCAAATATTTATGGGGTTTTTTTGCACTTGGGCTATTTCTTATAATGGCCTCAATGCCACTTTTCTTCCCTCTGGAAGGCTGACAGTAGCTCTATGTATCTGAAAAATTCACTGCTTTTGGGGGCCACGCTGAGCAGAGAGTTTACTGGACTGTTTTCTACTGCACCAGGACAACAAGTTTCCCTTTGCCTAACTGGGTGTCACCAAAATTCTACAGCTTGAAAGCAAATATTTTAAATCTTCTTTTGATCTATTTTCCCAGCTTGCTGTATCCATACCAACTGTCACAGGCTGAAGAAGAGAGCAAACCTTTATAATGAAACCACATTGACTCCATTTGTAAAGAACCATGACAAGAAGATGCATCTTCACTGACGGTAACATCCCCTGATATAAGATCATAGGCAGTACTGTAATATATTATGTGTAGTTCTTGCCACCGTGCTTTAAAAATGTGTTCAGACATGCTTCTACTAACAGCTGCTAAAATATTAGGCCACAAAAACTGAAAAAAAGTGTGAAAGAGGAAAAGAAGGCTATGCTTATTTGAAAATAAATATGATAAAGGAGTAAGACGTAGTAGAAAGCAGTAGGAGCAAATATAAATCTGCTTAGCATACACCTTATAAGCCTGTCACAGGACTATAAAAATGATACTGACAGTCCTAAGTAGCGTAATAAAATAACAATACAGGAAAATACATGTAGAAAATACTGGCATAAGAAGGTTCCTTCCTATCTTTGATACCTGAACATTAATGAAAACAATCTTCAGTGACTTGCAAAGCTTCCAATAGATAATGATGAAAGCACAGAGAAATCCACAGAATACTAGGAAAGGCAGATTCCACTCTTTTTGTGTATCATTTGCAATCCAAATAATTACAAATATTCATGATGTCAAACTAAGCAAGGTGAGAAAAGAATTGGAAAGACAGCATGGGGAGAGAAGAAGGGAAGTCTGAAATATGGCAGAAAGAAGATATTATTTTACCCGTGTTATTAAATTAAATAACATATTTTTAAAATACTAATCAATTAAAGCCATGATTCAAACACAAAATGCCAGAAATATGAATGAAATATTTAAGCTCTACTGACATAGTTCTATCATAAAAATCCCTTGACAGAATTAAAATCTTCTATAGACAGAAGTATGTTATTAGTTATATTTTTTTTTACACAACACTACTTGGCACATGTTGCAACTCAGAAGCCAATGTATGGAAAGAATTTCAAATGTGGCTTGATTAAAAGAGCATCCTTGTGGGCAAAAATGATGAGCATGTTCTGCCTAATTCAGAATTCCTTGGTGAATTAAAGAAAAGTACATAAAAAAGAACTATAGGATGAATAATTATAAAAAGATTACAATGCAACTATTTAACTCCCCTGGGAATATTAATCTGCAAGCCATTTGAAAGGTTTTCTTTCATGCCCCCGTTACAGAAATTTGTATTTGAAATTGCCTGACATTTAGACAAGCAGTTGAATGCCAGATGAAGTCTTAACTGATGGCAGTGAGAAAGTGCCAGCAAAGGTGGCTTAAGATGGCAGTTACCTGGCATCACTAATCAAAAGACAAAGATCATATTTTCAGAGTTCCATTTTTCTTTGAGAACAACATTTTGCAAGAATATATTGCATTTAAAAATAAATTGAGGCAAAATCTTAAGATTTTCTCATACATATATATTTATATATATATATAACCTAGCACAAGTACTATCCTCAACCTCATTCTGAATAAAAATTTACTTCATAAACAAATTTATGTCCATGGATTATTGAAAAGTCACATACAGTCACAAGCTGCTTTGGTAATTGCCTTTGCTGCATTCTTCTGAATATCAGGAACAGTGGAGACTCCTAAAAGTGCAAGGAGTTTTTTAAGGCCTCCTGTCTGCTGAATCAGTTGCAGGATATGCACATCTTCGAGACAATTTCCCAGCACAGCAAGAGTTTCGACATGTAGATCGCTCAATTCCTAATAAAGAAAAAAATCCAAACAAATAACCTTCAAATCAGGATTAAAATATCTTTGGCTTTTAAGTTTGTAGGATAATGGCTGTAACTTTCTTTTGGATAGTTTAATCACACTGCAAAGAGTATATTTTCATATTCACATTTTCATCTAATTTATTTAATGATGCCTTAGGATGCAACACAATTTATCAAAAACACTAAAGCCTACAGAAGTTTCTTGTTTACATTAAAGTGCGTTAGACAAGCACCCAGAATGCACCTGTCATCTTAAAATTTCAAAAACGTCACAAATTTCTCTACGCATTATGTCCCATGGTGACACCTAAACTCAAGAAGCACTAAACTGAATCTCATAATAACATAAACAGTGATATTTCCAAGGCAGGAAATTATGTCTAAGGCCATTGATATCAAAGTAAATTCAGGAAAAAAAGATCAGTGTTCAAACTAGGAACCATCACCAGAGTTCTATGTATCATAAAAAAATTTGAGAAAATGTCATATAAAAAGCTATACGGTGAATTTTTTTGATATTTTCAACAGTTTGAGAAATGAACAGTAAAGGCAAAACAGTATTACTAAGAGCAGTAAAGCAATAAAACAAATATAAATACTTGGGTGAATCCCTTTGATTCCTTTCTGAGTAAGCTAGATATCCTAGCCTATCCTATTTCTATCTTAGTTCACTCCAAGTAAGGAACTCTTTCTTCTTATCTCGCTCTTCCATAACGGAAGTAATATTTCCCATTAGTCATACAAACATTAGTAGCAAGAACAGAAAAACTTTTAAAGCAAGCAAACTGTACATCGGTTTCCAGTATCTTCAGCAGGCAATCTAATCCGTTCTTTTCTCCCAGTATTATCCTGGTTTCTCTGTCTTTGCTAATTACTTCTAAGGTTTGAAGGGCTAACAACTGAATAACGGGGTATTCAGATTCCAGTAGTTCCAGCAAGGGTGGAATTACACTCAGTTCGCTAACTGCAGCACGGTTTTGAAAATCCTGCAGTAAAATATTCAAAAAATAAAGTTAGTGATAGAGAATATAACAATACATCAATTCCTGACTTCACAGAAACACCAGAAGTCTGATTTCAGACATCAAAAAATTTATCAATACTTCAGAGCTTTCAGTTCTGAAGATTTCTTTCTTTTGACCTAAAAATCAAACTGAATATAATCAAGCCCTGTGAACCTTAAATTCTAGGGGTTTTTTCAAGACTGTAGAATCTAGTTCTGTCTAAGGAAGCCCATTTACTCTTGGGTTTCACCATGTTTGTCTCAAATGTTTCTTTGAAAAAGTTTTTTAAATTTAGTTTCACTATTTTTGTTTAATCAGTGGGTGGAAAACAGTTTTTTGCACTCAACTGTGGTTGCCTGGTTATATCTTCCTTTTTTTTAGTAATTATATTTAATTTAAAATTTCAACTTTAAACAGTGAATGTGCAGCTTAATAAAAAGACAGTAGTTGATTATATTAAAATAGAAAATAAATAAATAAATTACAATTTGCTTTTAAATAGCTTATTGCACATGTGCAGCATGCAATTATCCTTATCAATATAAGCAAGCACCAGGTGCAGTTATCCAGATATACCCTGCAACAAAGACACCGAGATAGTAAAAAAGGAGAAAGAGTAAAATGTGATTCTGAATAGACATGCTCTGATGCCCCAAAAGAGATAGAGTTATAAACTGAATTCATTATTGAATTGATTCGCTTAAGCCATGGAAGAGGACTGCCATACAAATGCACCATTCTTCTGCTAAGCAGCATATGGATGACATTAGTGCTGAGTGTGAAAGTAGCCAATAAAAAACCTATTCCTCCCAGTATGGAAAGTAGCTGTTGACAGCATTCACCTATCATTAAAAAGATGTTCAAAATTGTGCTATGGACCTGCTGGTCAAAACAAGACACAATGCAATTGGTAGTTCTTTAGTTCTTTAATTTACAGGATTATTCCAACCTTTTGGATGGACAGATTATGACTCTAATTACCACGACTAGTATTTTCAAACTGAGAAAACAAATTCCTATTTAATTAAAAAAATCTAAATCTCATTCTGATTATACTTATACTGCAGCACACCACAGATAATTGCATCAAGTTCAAAAGAATTAGAGTCAAATCAGCTATATTCATAACTAATTTAACATTCATAAGATTGGGTGTGATGATTCAAATACACTGATGGACATTGGGGAGTAAAGAAACCAAGTATTTTAAAATTATTACCCCCACAGAAAATGTCTGGGTGGGGGTGGGGGTGGTGGGAAGGGTTTATCTGCCTCTGTAATTTAAAGCAACAAACAACAGGAAACTTTACCTGTACCAGAAGGTAAATACATTCAAGTGAATTCTTCTGAACGTCAGGATCAGGGCTACCTAGCAGCCTGATAAGTGGTTCTAACCCACCTTGCTCAAATATTTTTACTTTAGTAGTACATTCAACAGCCATATGTGCTAGACAGAGAGTAGCAAACTCATGGATTACTACATCTTCTGTGGGGAAAAAAAGAAACATTTTGATCAAGTTTTATTCAGCACGGAACATATTCACTAATCCAGTGGTTTAAAACATTATTTGAAGTCAATAAATAATAGCTGTTAATCCTACCTGATGCCTCCATAAACATGTTGCTCCATCTGTACAACATAAAATACTACTTGGTGAGTAAGAGTTACTCCTATAAAAGCATTTACCTCTTTAACATGTAGTAGGACAAATTGTAAGTTACAGGGAAGATTTTATTAAATTGTCTGTTCAAATGCAATCATAAATTATTTCTGACTGTACTTTAGCACAAGAATGAATACTGCACAAGGTACCTTCTGGCGCCAGCTGTGATATAAGTGGATTTGTGACATCCAGTTCCCTCAGTAACTTCTTGACATCATCTACAATGAAATAAATACAAAGTCTCTCATTTGGCAATGTTGGCTGAGTAAAGAAGAGAATCTGCTCCAAGCAAATGTACTTATGGTTATTCTCTGAGTGACAAACAGATCTGACTGGGAAAGACACACAACTGAAGTTATACCAAGATCATAACAGGCCCAGAAAAAAATAGAAGAGACTTTAAAGTACCAGACGACATTCTTTGATATATATGAACTTTCTTAATATTTTATTGAAACTTTACTCAAAAAACTTGCACCTAGCAGGTTCTGATTAAGTCTTGCAGTTTTAATTGCCAAAGAAGTCACATCCCAATAGTTTAAAGTATTTGTTGTTAAAATTATCAAACTAAAAGCAATCTGTTACTTAGTTTTCAAGCCATCACTTTGCTATTTTAAGCTAATGTCAGCCCACCCTGCAAACGGAAAACATGAATTACCTAGATCTCATTAAAATCACAGTAAAGACTTTCAGAATGAATTTTTATTGTTGTCAATGGCAAACTAGCAAAACCACAACCACTGGACAGAAAAATCAAATAATAGCTGTTGGAACAGATTTTGTGAGATCTTAAAGGGCAGTGTTGTTATCAACATATTACAGTGTTGAAATGTAGGAAAAAGGTATGAGAGTTTAATTTACTTTAAATAAAGAAATTATTAAGATGTGAATATAAATGGAAGATCTTTGTTCATTTAAATTCATGTTTGTGCAGCAGCATGGACTATATGCTAATGTGGAGTTAAAAGGAAGGTAAAGAGGGTAAGGTCTAGTGCAGCATGAAAAGCAGGTAGCAGTTGGTGAAAAGACTTGAGAGTGATTGGGACACCACAATTGAAGACAACTGGGTAGAACATCCAACAAAATAACACCTGATTAATTACATTAATTAGATATAGGTTTATAAAGCACTGTAAAAACAGCAGCCAATGAAACTCAACCTTACATCACTTAGTCGTTATTCTGGGCCATTAATACAGGATTTTTTCACATGGGTCAGCTCCTTGTGACCACACATTGGAAAATATTTATAAATTGAAAGTCTTACTATTAGAAGCCATGATGCCAAAAACCATGATGGCATTTCTGCGTACAATGGGATCTTCATGTGAGATGAGTTTATACAGATGTTCCAATGCTCCAAGACCAAGGAGTATCACTTTGTTTTCATCATCTGAAGAGGAATTGTGTTAGAAGCCCAAGAAAAATGCAACAACCTCACAGTTCTAATGTACTGAAGTAAAACAGCTACTTTTACTAGATAGTAGAATCAAGAAACAAAGGCCTGACAGGACCTTGGGAGATCGTCTAATCTATACCCCAAATAAATATGTGTCTAAGATTAATTCACATTTGTAAAGCAAAGGATACTTCTATCTATTGGACACTCAACTCATTTGTTAGAGACTGCAATGATAGTACAAAGGACAACTTTCTATTTAGCAAAGTACAGATAAACAGTATAATTAAGAACCTCATTTTATTCAATATCATTAAGAACCTCATTTTATCTTCCTCTTTTCTTGCCTCCCAATTCGGTTTTCCTCAAAATAACAGTTATATAATTCAGTGGATCTTTACTATCTCTCAGTGGAAGCAACTAGCAGGATTTGGATCATTAAATCCTGAGATTTCTACCTGAGAATGGAGCACTTTGTACCTCAATAGGTGCTGGACATGCAAAGAACAGAGGTGTTTTGTGAGACTACAGCCTTCCGTTCCTGATAACTCAAAACACACACACAACCCAAGAAACAAAATTCCAATCCCACTCCCATTCTCAGTTCCCACAACAGCTTTATAATTCATTTTCTAATGAACCATGCCAGTTCTTTCTGGCTACAAGCAAGCAGTGTGAGAGGAAACTGGAGAGCTACGCTCATACTCAGGCCAAGACATGATTAAAATACAAGGTATTTTTATTGAGGGATGGGACTTAATTTACTAGCAACACTCAAAAAATAAATTAACTGCAATCAATTAACTGAAAACAACTCCTTCTCTTGCACCACACTGCAAAGTTACAGTCAAGTCTTCTGGAAGATTGTAGGAATGTCTACATCAATGATTTAAAGAATGATTCATTTAGTGGAAACATAAAAAAATAAGCATCTGTCCTCCCTCTTGCAGTGTGACATATTTTATTGGGGACAGCAGGGAAGAAGCCAGTAAAGGCTTATGGTCCACATTCTCTCTTCCCATATTCAGAATATGATTGCATGCTGTCAGCCAAGCTTGCCATATTAAGCAGAGCCTAAACATCTTTCAGAACCTGGTGACCTCTAGCCAGCTGTCAAAGCATTCAGCTCTTCTCTCATAACTTCAGCAGTGTTGGCAATTGCCATTAGTACAACAATCAACATAGAGACCCATAATTTTTTAAGAAAATGTAAATTTAAAGGAAATTAAAATTAAACCACATTAATCAAACCAAGAACGCTACCAACATATACCAATTTGAGTGACTGGCATAGAGAAAATAGGAGACAGCTTAGGAAATTATTTGCGACATAAAATTGAGCCCTACACAGTTGTTGTCTCCTTGGTCCCTTGGATCCTTAGCTATAGATTATACAGGGACCTTTGGAAGATTTGGTATGTTGGAGACTTGTTAGACTCCCAACACAGGCAGAATAAGCTTGATAAAGGAGGTTGAGCAGTCTCCAATAAATCATTTGTCACAGAAATACTGACACAACTTTATGCAAAAATAACAGAAACAAGCTAAAAAGTTATTTTCATTGAAAACTGAACCTTAGAATAACTACAATGGTACAGAAGTCTCAAACTGTGTCATAAAAAGAATAATTATTTCCCAACTGCAGGTCTGTTGCTCATACAAAACCAGATCTACATTATATTTAAAACACCTCTATTCAACAGTGAATATAAAATTCTACAACAAAAATGGAAAAATTTCCTTCATGCAAACTACTTTATAACTGCAAATACGGGTTGAATAGATATTTCAGAAAACCCCCAAAACCTCGACAGAGACCTCTGAGAAGAAATTAAGATTTCAGTGCTAGGAAACTAAAAATTGTGAACTACCATCAAACTCTAAGCAGGGTAAAACAATGCTCATTGCAAAAATACTAACCTTTTGAAGCAAATTTATATAGAGCATCACATGCTTTGGTCAAAACTTCCGTTTCAGGAGAACTAAGCATTAGTACAACCGTTTCTGGTGTTTTGCTTTCAATTAATAATGGATCAAACTGCAAACAAACAACAACAAAAAAAAAAAGGAAAGAAAAGTTTAATTTATTCTGAGTCTTTCTGTATGCTGCAGTAGACTCCCACATTTCATTAAGAAAAAAATCTTGTTTGATATCTAGAATTCGAATTAGAAACCTTAATGAGTTGCTATTTACTTGGAGAAATCTGATTTTTTAACAATCAGAGACATTGTTACAAAATAAGAAAGAATAATTTACTTCCAAATAAGTATAATCAGGATTTCATGCCATATGAAGATTCTGGAAAAACCTTGACACTTCCCTGCAAATCTAGAAAGTCCTGAAAGTAACAAACTAAGTAATTGTTTCATATGTAAGAGAATTCTTCAGCTTTGGAACCAGACATGAGAAGTTCCTTTTGAGCAGCTGTAACACAGAGACCACAAACTCAGGTGTTGTGCGAGGAAGAGGACTTGGTTACTCTCTGGCAATACCACTTTGTGGTTGCTTAAAAAATTAATAAAAGCACATTTCCTGTGCCTTTGTCAACTCAGTTCACCAGCTCACCATGATCTTGCACTAGCTGAAGCATTTCCAAAATATAATCCCTGCTCATCCAGCCAGAAATGATACCAAGTGCTCATTTCCATTTCTGAGTTCTCTCATATGGAAAGAAATCTTCCAACAAATCAGACAGTTTTCACACTCTTAATAGACTTCTTAGGACTAACATCATGTGAGCAAGAGAATCTTCTAAAAAAGCCTTTCATTCCTTAACAAGAGTCTATTCAATTTCTGAAAATCCTACCAATTAAAAAGTTTTAAGCTTGTTTGGATTTAAAGTAATCTTTCAGTATGGAAAAACTGTCTTCTGTCTTCACAGTTCAGGACTATAGAGCATCTGTGTTACATAAAGAAACTATCACATACTGGAGTCACACTGTCTCTCAGAATCAATGTATTTATCTTTAAAATATAGCAGATTAATCATATAAGATAGCACTACAAATTATTTAAAAATACTGTTACAATATATATTTATATTATATATCATTACAAATGTTATTTGTTTTACTTCATTAAAAAAAACTCTAATAGCTACATCAGAGGCACATATTTCTTGTCAAGCAAGTAAATGATATGGAGCAAATCTTAAAAGTTATGAGTGTGCTATAAGAAAAATGGACAAAGAGGAAGCTTCTTTTCTTCTCATTTTTTTGACTTGCTCAAAAATAAGGCAAAATATGATACTGGTACAAAGACTTCCAAATTCATATTTTCAGTAGGTTTTAAAATCTAATTAATTTCATCACCTTCCATGAGGCAGATCACACAATTTAGCAGGCAACAAGCTCAAAAGACAAATTTCATTAAGAGGTTGCCTGCCTAATGTGTTTAACTGATCTACCTAGCTTCAATCTGAAAACTGGTTTGAAAATCTGAAGACACTGTCCAACTAACTTCATGCTTGCTGTGACAAGCTGAAGGCATGGGCCAAGTCATGGAACAAAAGAAAGTATAATCAGCTTACTGTACTGCAAGTCATTTTGCTTAATAATGACTCAGCAATAAGAATTAAATCAAGTAATAGCATAGTGGTGCAAGTTACATCTTAATGATGTAATAGCAGGAGGGCTCTTCAGAAGGACCTGGATAGGCTGGAGAGTCGGGCCGATTCCAGTGGAATGAAGTTCAACAAGGCCAAGTGCCGGGTCCTGCACTTCGGCCACAACAACCCCTGCAGCGCTACAGGCTGGGCACAGAGTGGCTGGAGAGCAGCCAGGTGGAAAGGGACCTGGGGGTGCTGATCGACAGGAAGCTGAACATGAGCCAGCAGTGTGCCCAGGTGGCCAAGAAGGCCAATGGCATCCTGGCCTGGATCAGGAACAGTGTGGCCAGCAGGAGCAGGGAAGTGATCCTTCCTCTGTACTCAGCGCTGGTGAGGCCACACCTTGAGTATTGTGTTCAGTTCTGGGCCCCTCAGTTCAGGAAAGACATTGAGGGTCTGGAGCAGGTCCAGAGAAGAGCAATGAGGCTGGTGAAGGCAGTTGAGCACAAGTCCTGTGAGGAGAGGCTGAAGGAGCTGGGGTTGTTTAGCCTGGAGAAGAGGAGGCTCAGGAGAGACCTCATCACTCTCTACAACTACCTGAGAGGAGGTTGTAGCCAGGTGGGGGTTGGTCTCTTCTCCCAGGCAATCAGCAGCAGGACAAGAGGGCACGGGCTTAAGCTCTGCCAGGGGAGGTTTAGGTTGCATATTAGGAAGAAATTTTTTACAGAGATAGTGATCATACACTGGAATGGGCTGCCCAGGGAGGTGGTGGATTCACCATCCCTGGAGGTTTTTAAGATGAGGCTGGATGTGGCACTGAGTGCCATGGTCTAGTAACCACAGTGGTGTTGGATCAAGGGTTGGACTTGATGATCTTGGAGGTCTTTTCTAAACTTATTGACTCTATAATGGGCCTAAAATTATGGAATTCTTTATAGGAACCTTCTTTTTGGATTGTAAGGAGGCAAAAAAAATTCAGCTTATCACAGCAACAATCATTCATTCTACCCACATAAGGGGAATACAGGAGAATTAGGAGGTGACTGAAAGTTCCTTTAGCCATCTTCATACTTCCCTACTTCTGCACATTTGGGTCTTTGCATGGACTGAACACTCCTATTAAGTGCTATTATTTGAGCACAGACATATCTCCTGAGTCTGGACAAATACTTGGTGACGGGATAAAACTCCAATTTTTAGGAAAGGCTGTTAGTCCTCCAGAGAAAAATAAACACAAATATTGGTTTCAGATGAAGATCAATAAGAAATGAAAGATGAAATAAGAGGTTTAAATGTCATTTATTTACATTGATCTAGTAACAAAGTCATTATTACATTGCTCCATTTTCACTGCATCTCATGTTCATAATTAGTTGTAGAAACCAAAATTTAATGCAAATTCCTGGGATTTAATGACAGGTTTGCACATGAGCAGAGCGAAATTAATCTAATGTCTACCCTCATATGCTTAATCAGTCAGAGGCCTGAGCAGGTCAGTGATTGAGAAAGAACTTCTTTACTGTGCAGGTGATGGTGCACTGGAACAGATTGCCCAGAGAGGGTGGGAAGTCCCCCTCTCCGGAGATATTTGAGAGGCATCTGGATGCAATCCTGTGCCATGTGCTCTAGGATGGCCCTGACTGAGTGAGGAGGTTGGACCAAATGACCCACTGTGGTCCCTTCCAACCTTACCCAATCTGTGATTGCTGTGTGTTCATCAAAACTATCAGAGAGCTGATTATGACTCTTGCTGATCATAATGCATGTATAGCCAGTGTTCCAGCTTTTTTTTTTTTTTTTTTTTTAAATCAAGGCTTGCTTCTAAATCTTCATACATCATTGCATATTCTTCCTATAACGGCACATACAGGACAGATTATGTGCTAGAATAATATGTCTGAAGTTACAAATAACCTTGAATTATACACAGAAATTTAACTAGTTTATAAGCAACAACATTTCCAACATTCAGTTTGTATTAAGAAAAAAGCAAATAAAATTAAAAAGAAAGCTATAATTCAAAAACTTCTACATGTCTTTGATCTTGATTTTTGTGTACATTTGACTTCAAAGCCATTAAAAACCGCAGAGCATTTGGGGCTTGATTTTGGGTGGTGTTTTTTTTTTTTTTTTTGGCTTCCATCAACTTAATTTAGTTGAAATTGAATGTAATATAAAATATGTTTCCAGTCAGACCAAAGACTCATCTAGCCCAGCATCCTGTCTCTGACAAAAGGCTAGTAACAGGTGTGGGCAAGCAGACATTAAACTTTGCTTATATTCCCTCTCAGACTCCAGTACTCTGCAACCTAGAGAACTAGAGAGCCTAGTGAGTTTATCTCTGTGTTCAAAAAAATCCACAAGAAAAAAATTGGTACATACTTTTTGAAGCCACCTTTAATATTCTGAGACACAAACACCACAATTTAACAGTCATATAAATTACTGTGCCTCTTCTTTGTTTTAAAACTACCACCTGATAATTTTATTTGTCCTCTACAGTTCATTCACCATAGGAAACAATGAAATAAATTACACTCATTTGCCTTCCCTGTATGTTCATAATTTTGTATATTTCATAATTTTCTAAGTTTCTATGATATTCCCCTTCACAGTTATTCCTTCTGGGGATGAAGAAACCTATCCCCTTTGATCTTTCCTAATACAGAAGCCACTCTGTCTGTTCCTGTTGTCTTTCTTAGTTCATTCTGTTGTCTTTCTACAGCTCAATTGTACCTTTTTGAGATGGAAACACCAAAACTGTTAATAGCATTTAACATGTGCACGTATAATGCGTTTGCTAGTGACATGTTGTTTTGCCTTTTATTTCTGGAATTTGAAATGTTGTATTTATTCACTTCTTTCTACTTAGGAACTGGCTGCCACTTTCATGAAAATATCCATTAATTCTGATAGACTGGATGACATAGGTTGCAGAATAAAACCCCATGACATTCCATTGGCAACCTCTCTCTGTTATGAAACCTGAACAGTAACTTGTTTTCTCACTTTTGCTTTCTGTTTTATAACCAGCCATTATTGCTAGGAGAGAAAATTATTTTTACCTCTTTGTCTTTATGAGAGCAAAAAGCTTAGTCTAAAAACTTTTGAAAAAGCTAAGTAACTGTATCAATCTGAAAACTATTATCCACTTGCTCACTGACTCCTCCAAAGAATTCAAGTAGATTTCAGAGATCAAACTTTACATAAGCAGTAGGGACTGTTGCCCATTATTATCATATTTATCCATGGGTTTGGAGGTTTTTTTCAGAACTATTTCTACCAATTAACACAGCATGGAAGATAAATTTCCTGTAATTATTAATGTATTTCTTTTTGAAAATGAAATTTTCTACTCTCCATTTTCCCACTACATTAAATACTACATGTAGCAGTACCACATTTTTGAATTTTAGTTATTTTTCATTTAGCACAAGACCAGGGCAAATACTATTTATTCCTATTTGGGAAGTTTTATCACATTTATTTTGGTGCTTTGGCCTTTGACAAAAAAGTAAGTAAGTTTGCTTTTCCTTCATGACTTTAATCACCTAATAACATCCCTCTAAGAAGATTCTTGCATCTAGTCAGTTTGGAAAAGCTTTACTGTGAGTTTTGTGTCTTTGCTAGTTCTCTCCCAAAATATTTTGATGCAGGGTGACATTGTGCTTTTACTTCTCATTTGAATGCAAAGCCCACCTTATGAAGGATGCATTTATCTTCTATTATTCTGTTGTTAATCATGCTGTGATTGTCTTTTAAAAAATCACTTAAATTTGATTTAAGTTCAGGTTTATCATTGCACTTTTCATAGAATTTTTAGAAGCAGGACTGGTATCTTTGATACTCTTAACCCCTTTACCTAGAAAAACAGAATAGGTACCTGGACACGCTAATTGTTTCAGTTTTGTGATTGCCTGATCTCCTGTACTAACAACATAAACCCAAGATATTTCACTGAATCACAAGTAGTTGATGTTAGAAGGCACCTCTGGAGATGATCTGATGCAACTGCCCTGTTCAGAGCAGGGAGAGCTGGAGCTCAGGGTTGGTACACAGTCTGATTTTGAGTATCTCCAAAGATGGAGACTCCACAAGCTCTCTGGACAACCTGGGGTTGGTCTTTTTCTTCTGCTTCAGTGGAACCTCCTGCATTTACGTTTGTGTCCATTGCCTCTCATGTTTTCACTGGGCATCACTGAGAAGACCCTGGCTTGATTTCTTTACTTCTTCCTGTCAGGTGACACTGCCAAGACCCCTCCAAGCCTTCTCTCAAGACTGAACAGTCCCAACTGTCAAATGACAAATGTTCCAAGAGTTTGGCAGATTTATTCCAGTAAGGCCTTGTCTCTCTCGTACCACAGAACCAAGAACAGAATCACCAGGTCCTTTCCTGTAAAGCTGCTTTCCAGCTGGTCATCCCCCAGACTGTACCGGATATTCTTCCCCCAGGTGCAGGACTTGGCATTTCCCTTTATTGAACTTTAATTAAATTCCCAATTTCCCATTTCTCTAGTTTGTTGAGGTCCCTCTAAATGGCTGCACAACCATCTGGTCTGTCTATCACTCCTCTCAATTTTGTATCACTTGCAAACTTGCTGAGGGTGCACTCTGTCCCATCATTCAGGTCACTAATGAAGAGCTCAAACAGTATCAGCCCCAGGATCAACCCCTGGAGCACAAGGCTGCCTGACCTCCAACAGGACCTCAGTGCTGCAACCCTTTGAGCCTGTCAGTTCAGCTACTTTTCAATTCATTTACATTGTCTATTTCTCTTGTCTGTAGTTCATCAGCTTGCCTATGAGGATATTATGAGAGACAGTATTGAAAGCCTTCCTAAAGCCAAGTCAAATTAATATTTAGGCATTATTCAGAAGACAATTTCAGGAGCTGACTGTGCCACTTCATACGTTCCACCTTTTGTTAACAGCAGAGTTGTGAATCAAGCTATTTTCAGAAATACTCACGTATCTATAGCTTAAGTGATAGCACCTCAGTATTTTCTCTAGTGATAATCTTAGGTCTCCTTTTAATGTCTGTGTGCTAGCTGATGATCAAATAGTAATATTGTCTGGACCAAACTTAATGTAGATTTCATACGAAAAGTTCCTATCAATGTGTGTCAAATATTTTATCTGTCTGAATTACTGACTTAGGTCATTCATATAGAGATAGAGGCTCAAAGTAATATTTTTCCTGTAGGAGACCAATTCTTGTAACAGAGAAAAGACAAATTATGCAAGGCTGTGAAAACAGAATCCTCAGGAATATTTTCTAAAACATATAAGCAGAGGCTAGTACGAGATGTGTTTCCCACCTGTTCCTAGAAATCTATAAAAAATTAGCGGTCATCTGCAGGACCATATATTCCCGGAGCATTCCAAGTGCACAAAGGCCCTCTTTATAAGCCTGCCTACATTATCTCAAGGCTTCTTTTCTTGGACTTGACATTTTCATAAACAGATTATCAATCAGAAGATAATGGCTAATACATCTCTTATTTTGCCTGCATCTCATTTCCTGCCACCTGAAATATCCAGGTGAAATTTAAAGTTTTGAGATTTGATTTTACACAATCATTATTAACAACGTTCTCATAGCTATTAGATTTTCTTGGTTGATAGTTACAATTAATCAATGATCTATTTTCATATTTAATACTGTTTTGCTATGCAACGTTCAAGTTTTTTTCTCCTGCTAGGACTGATAGAACAGATATGTTAGCCTGAAGTATAATAAGGGGGAAAACTAAGCCAAAAGCTGCAGATGCCATCTGGAATTCACTCTTTCCAGTTCCTTCCTTTTTGATAGTTTTATCAACCTTTTCTCTACGTTGGATTTTTTCAATTATTGAATATTTCTAACATTTTTCACAACTTATCGTAGTACCTACTAGGCTGTATCACAGTTCTCTCCAGAAAATCTAATGGCATGTTTTGGATATAGAGATTGTAGTGCTGCATCTACTGATTTTCTAGCTATTTACTGAAAAGGTCAACTTTTATTCCTTTAGCTTATCTGTATGGCTTAAATGTACTGTCATGCCTTTCCAATTTTTTTTTTTAAGACTGCGAAGATACTTAGTTTTAACTCTTCGGGTCTGTTTTAATTAGTCTTATCCACATTCACCATCTTTGTGACTCCTCCTTGTTTTTTTATACAGACCCAGGTTATGTTGAGGTTTCATGTCATCTCCTTTCATGAGGATTTATTATTGACTGGATCTTATGAATACATTTGTAATATTCACCTTTCTACATAACAATGGAGCTAAACCTGGTATCAATTGCTATGCCTCAGCGACATCATGGCTATTGGATACTGTCTTAGTCAAAATTATTTATGTTTAATTTTCAAATTGTAATGTAGTTTTTGCTGATCAACTTTTCTATGACCTATGAGCTTTGAAAAAGCTCTTGCAGTACTACCACTCTTTACAGACAAAGCCACTGTTTTTTTAAAACAGTGTACCGAACTTCGCATTTAGTTTCATGTTCCTCTGTGAAACTCGTTGAGGTTCCTATTTTCATTAACTTGGTTATTATCTGGCAGAGAATTTATATTATACTCTTTTCAATGTTTCTGTGTTTCCTCTACTTCTTTATGAATAAAACATTTAATCTTTAAAATTAACTATTTTGAATATCTATCTTTGGGGGTCTCTTCATACCTTCGGAATGTATAGAAACCCTTGAAAAGTGTGCTAGTGTCAGACCCTTAACCTCCAATTTTGAAAAAAAAGTCACATCACCATGATTCTGTATTTATCTTCAGCTCTCGTACTTCCCATGATACCAAAAAAACCTAAACTGCTGGTAAAAAAGTCTGTGTAACCTTGCAAAAGATCCAGAGTATGTAATACTAGCATTCAAAATATCTGTCAAATTTTGTATTTGTATAAAACTGCAGATCCATCTAGACTCTTAACTCTTTTCCACCCAAAGAAAGAGAATGTCTTCACAGTTGAAAAGACAGGCAGATTTCATGTTGCTCTTCTCCTTTCTCCTTTGATTTTTACAAAGAGAAAGCTAACACTGTTTTAAATAAAAAGAAGCCTGGATTGTTTCATACATTACTGTTTGCAAAGCCTGCCAAAGACAACAATCTCTACAAAGAACTACACATGCCCAGTCACTCTGGTTTGTATGCTGTCCAAGAAAAGCAGAAACAGAGTCATCTTTAAAAGCCATTTTTAGAATAATGTGGGTAAGTTAGGAGAATAAGGAACTACGTAAGGACTGTAGAGTTGGGCCTGTAACTGGGTAATGTTTATTTTATAGCACATAGCAGTTTATAAACTTACCACATCCTTGGGTGGAGGCTCTGCTTCCTTCTTTACTTTTTTACCCATTCTAAAAACAAACAAACAAAAAAATAAAAGCAGACAAACAAATTCCCTTCTGTGTTTTAGGAACCAGTTTACCATTGATTTAGAAAAGCTTTTAAGACAGACTTTTTCATTCATTTGACCAACCTAATTAGTCTGAATATCATTCTTTGACATAGTAATTTCTATACAGAAAGTTGTCCCTTTTTCTAACACTTGAACACATTTGGTAAAATATTTCTGTCAACAAAATACACAGCTCAAAAGAAAGGTTTGAGACATCACAGGCTCAGGTTGTAATGTGGTACAAAACCACAGAACATCATTTTCTCTAAGTTAATTTATCTGCATCTATAAATCATATATGAACTTGAAAGTCCTTTTAGGGTATTTCTCCATGTTTGCCTACACAGTCTGTGTTGGCAAACATTCTATACAACTGTAGAATGTACAAATAAGTTCTGCCCCAAAAACATGGTTCAAATACAATTTGAATTCTCTGTTCATATTTCACAGAAGACAAAAATCAGGTCTGCAGGTATTAAGAAACAGTTCTTTACAGCACAAATTTCACTGATTTAAAAAAATTACATCTATTTGCACCAAGTCCAGCTTCTGTCTTCTACCTTTTTATTTTTGGTATTAGCACATGTGCACATGAACCAGGAAGACCTCCTCAAGTACATCTAATAGGTTCTGAAGCATATGGATGTAATACCTCATGTGGACCTAATTCTGTGTGGCTTCAAAAACTTCAGGAGAGCCTTCCAGTTAAAGTACAGGCAAAAGTAAAAGGGCAACGTGAGCCACTAGCACTAGCTATGTATAGAACATAACCCAAGTTATGCCAAACTTCAGTTTAACACTGTGTAAAAGTGAAATTTGCACTGTTAGTACCCCTTGTTATCTCCTCCGTTGGTTCTCAAAGTAAAACCACACATTCACCCTCAGCCAGGACTATCCTGACAGCCTCCCTGTGGTATAAGAGATTATTTTCTAGTGCAATATGAAATGCAGCCTGGCTGGTTACAAAAGTCAAGGCTATTGTTTGTTGTGTTCAAGAAAAATTTGGAGCTCTTCTTGAATCCTCTGATTTTTTTCCAGGTATTGTTCCTCTATAGGTCTCCAAAAATAAACTGTAACACAGCAGTAGTGAAACCAGTTCATAATCACATCCTAAAAATGGATCTGAAATTTAAAACTTCATAGGCAGGTCACTAATTACAGTTTTGAGAGGAAGACCTCCACAATCAAAGATTCATCAGCTCCAATCTGCTTTACCCTTGTCCATCTGTACATACACATATATGAACACACACAAATATTCAGTGTTTCAGAAAATGCAGCTTTGGCTAGAGACAACTTAACTTACATAAGAAAAAGCATAAGGACAAGTAACTGACAGTATATCGAACAAACGTGATGGACATACTACCTTCTGATTTATGCAGTCACTGTAGAAGGTAAGAATCCTGCACACATACAAGAATCAGATTTACAAGGACATTCAGGAAATCTGGGTTATTTAAATTGTGCTAAATCCTGGTATGGAGATATGGACTCTTACTTAGAATTATTCAGTTCAGCTCGATTCATTTCAGGTATAAATGAAGCTAAAGTCAGAAGAGGCAATTTTAATTCTGAATGAGTTTAATTAGGTTTAAACCAAACAATTTTAAAAGTTAATTAATGTAAAAGTATTTATAATATTGTATAATTAATGTTCTCAGATTCAAATTATAAATATTTCAGGACCAAGAATAGCTAAAGCATTTAATTGCAAGTACTTCTTCACTCCGTATAAATACATCCAACTTCTGAGCCCATTTTTAAGAAACTTTTACATTTTTCTTAGTTTAGAAATATTTAGCTCCTTTAACTTTAAAAAAGCAGTATGACCTCTGGCAATAAGCAGAGAGACCAGCACAATTACTTTACTGTGGATTATGCCCCTCAGTCTGTTTCTTTGTAGCAGGTACTGGTCTGGATTTCAATGCATTCTGCCATCAAATGTTGGTATGATCTTTGTTCCCATAAAGCTCTCAGTATTCAGTGGTCACTCTGACTTTAGGGAATGACGTATTTGGAATTCTTCAAATTACTGATAATTAAAAATACGTCTTCTGCATTGAATTTTCATTAACACAGACAATCAATGCGTACAGGTATTGAAAGGCTACTGAACTATAAAAGAACTTCTTTATTCAAATCCCTTTCTGTCCATAATAGCTGCATGGTGTCTTTTTCTCAGTAGGTTTACAGTACATATACACCAAGTTGGGTGGAACTGTTGATCTACTGGAATGTAGGGAGGCTCTGCAGATGGATTGGGACAGGCTGAACTGATTGGAGGAGGCCAGTGGTAGGAGGTTCAACACGGCCAAGTACCAGGTCCCGCCCTTGGGTCACAACAACCCAGTGCAGGGCTCCAGGCTGGGGAAGAGTGGCTGGAAAGCTGCCCAGCAGAAAAGCACCTGGAGGTGCTGGTCAACAGCAGCTGAACATGAGCCAGCAGTGCTCAGGTGGCCAAGAAGCCCAGTGGCATCCTGGCCTGTATCTGCAATAGTGGGACCAGCAGGACCAGGACAGTGATTGTGCCCCTGTACTCGGCACTGCTGAGGCTGCACTCCGAGTCCTGGGTTCAGTTTTCAGCCCCTCTCTACAGGAAGGACATTGAGGTGCTGAAGTGTGTCCAGAGAAGGGAAATGAAGCTGGTGAAGAGTCTGGAGCACAAGCCTGATGAGAAGCAGCTGAGGGAGCTGGGGTTGTTTGAACTGAAGAAGAGCAGGATCAGGGCAGACCTTATCACTCTCTACAACTACCTGAAAGGAGGGTGTAGTGAGTTGAGGGTCAGTCTCTTCTTCCAGGTAACAAGCGATAGAACAAAAGGAAATTACCTCAAGCTATAAGAACGGTGGTTTAGATTGGATATTAGGAAAAAATTCTTCACCAAAAGGGTTGTCAAGCATTGGAACAGGCTGCCCAGGGAAGAGCTTGAGTCACCAACCCTGGAGGTATTTAAAAGATGTAGATGTGATGCTTAGGGATGTGTTTCAGTGGTGGGTATGGCAGTGTTAGGTTAACAGTTGGACTCAATTATCTTAAAGATCTTTTCCAACCAAACCAGTTCTATGTTTTTAAATCTTAAAAACAAAATAAAGTATTCTCATTTGAGTAATATCCTCTACTTCATGACTTGTACATTTCTAGAATCATAGAAGCATACTTTTTCCACATATGTTTTTTGAGATTAAAGAGTTGATTAAGTCATGTAGAGCTAGAGGTAATCAAGTACTTTGACCTAACAGATGTAGCCAATGCATAGTCAAGCAATCTATGAAGTTATCATTCTATGCTACTTCCTGTTCTTCACCACCTGGAATTTATTGCCATCAGTGATAGACAAACTAGCCTGCTTTACTTCACTCCAACCCAGTTTCAGTGCAGTGGTCTAATCCGGTGTTTTCTCTCAACCAGCAGGACAGTCATTACATCTACCTAAATCCTCATTCTAAAACCACAGTCCTCAACACTCAATGCCTAAGCTCAGGAGGTACCTCCCTGTCTCACTATAAACTTCATTAGGACCTCCAGCTTTCCCACAGGACCAGAACTACTCCAAGTGTGAATATCTTGAGTTGAACCCGTATCTGCAAACTATTAGTAGCGTCCACTAAACTAAATTAAGCATCAGTACTAAAGTTAGTCACTGTCCTTGATAACTGGTGGAGATCTAGTCAACATATCCAATAGCTCTAAAATGGAATGGCACCTTAAAAATAACTACTTTTTTCTTAGACCAAAATCAAAGTCCAGAGTTGTTGGCTTATATATTTACATTTACACTGACATCTAAAATGTGTGAGCTAAGCTTATTACCCTGTTTCTCCACACAAATCCACATGCCAGGCTAGCTCTGGCAGATACTACTGGAGCAGACTGAACATTGGCAGAACCAGACATACCACAAAACACAGGCACCTTGTCTTTCTTAAAGTGGTTGAAGGAATAGGCTCATCTCTAGTAACATCTCTATAACCAGAACATTTTGCCTGTCAGTGGAGAAGGATTTTGAGAAAGTTCACAAATACAGATTTTTTAGTTCAGAAGTGGAACCCTCTAACCTCTTGACTATTATATCAGGAACTGGCATCTCTATCATGTCAAATAAAATAAGAAAAATTTATGTAGTTTTTGAGAGAGTCGCTGCAGATGCTTACAGGAGCAGATTCCAACTACTAGATCATAAGATAATTATGGCCATGATCCCTGTACTTACTTCATTTTATTGTCTTGCTCTAACAACCTCTCTGCTCAGTGTGAAGAGTTTCGTGGATTGCAAATCTGAGATATGCACTTATTTCTAGCCATTACAGTTTGTTTTTTTTTAAAACACAAGATGATGGCTATCAAGTGAGCTTCAACAAAAAAAGAATCTATAAACCATACTTTGATATATGAGGAAAGTCTTCTGGTTGTTTTTCTGTTTGAAATCTTATAAATCTTCCTTTAGAGTATGGAGTATATATCTATACTATCAGTGTCCTGTTGCATACACTTCAAGACCATAATATTTCATGATTTTAAGTCAGACAATGCATTTAGAAAATACTACCTGTTCCATTTGCTTCTTTCTGTTTTAAAACCTTAAATAAAAGACACAAAAAGACACACCTAGAACTCTGCACATACTGTGAGACCTGAGACAAAGAACAGGAATAGGTCAAAGGTACAGCCAGCTGTGAAACTTACCTCTTAGTCAAGGAATCAAAGGTCTCTTCTGAGAGCAATTACCCCTGTGGAAAAGCAGTGCAAAGAGAAGGATTTAAGAATAGTTTCTAGCAAGTTATATATTACATGTTCCACTGTTCAGATTAACAGTCCTATGCTTTAAGACAATCTGAAGATGTGTTACTACAACCTGGCTATGATTTTCAGATTCTTCACAAAAATGATGCATGAGATTCTTTTTGTCTTCCGAATAATAATTACATATCAATTTAGTTGAGCTAGTTTAATTGAAGTCTGGCTGTTTAGTTTTGTCTCAAAGAAGCTATTTTTTTGTGTGTGATAACAGTGTAAATTGCCTTATAAATTGGTCATTGTCACTGATTATTTAAAATTATTTCTGTATGGATGCTTTAGGTTTGCTGCCTTCCAATGCAATCAAGAGATAATCATATAATCATCAGACAATCTCACTCCCTTCTTGAGTCCATAAACTAGTATGTCCTTCGTAGACCAGCTTAAATATACTCATCATCATTCTCAGACAGCTCTTTCTTAAAGAGACCAATATGGAATAATCCTGAAACCCTTTCTTTCTCCCACATTCTTCTTCCATCTTTTTTCTGTCCAACTCTTAAAGTATGGATCAACAGACTCTCTTTGCCATTTTGTAATGACAGTGCAAGCATTAAAACACTATAAAAAAACTTCATAGAAGAAGAGAGTTAAAAAGAGATAGCAGGTCCAATTGAATATTCAGTTCCTGAAGATAGATAGATAGAGATATAGAGATATATATATATGGCATATGAAACAAATACATTACATGAGAGACCAATTAAGTCAAGACCTTTCGATTTGCCCAGTGTGTGTATTAGGCAAAAAATGATCAGGAATTTCCACCTGAACATGAGGAAGAACTTCTTTACTGTGCAGGTGACCACACACTGGAACAAGCTGCCCAGAGATGTTGTGGGCTCTCCCTCACTGGAGAGATAAAGGAACCATCTGTGCACAATCCTGTGCAATGTGCTCTGGGATGACCCTGCTTGAGCAGGGAGGTTGGACCAGGTGACCCACTGTGGTCAATTCCAACTTGACCCATTCTGTGATGCTGTGAGGATTAGGTCAAGGTTTAGCTACGATGCAAGACACGTTAACTAACCAAAATTACCCAGAGTCTGATCCTAAGATACAAGACAATATTTTGATTCAACTCGACAAAGTTCATCCCATTGCAGAAAAACAAACAAACAAAAAAACAAAAAAACAAAACAAACCCAAACAAAAACACAAAAAACAAACAAACCAACCCCACACCTAAATGTATCCTGATCGTTCTGAGAGTTCCTTTAAAGATTCCAATGTTTTCCAACGATCTATGCATTTATACATTAAACACACACACAATGAAAGAATCATTAAAAATACTGAGAGGTGCAGAGTGGAGTACCCTGCAGACAAAGTCTGAAAACCAAAATAAATTTGTAGTTAGATGCCAGGTTGAGAAAATAGCTATGAGAGAGAAAAGGTGGTGATTTTAGGCAAGCTAAAAATTAATATAATCATTTATTTAAGATCTCAGAATTTTTAAGATACAATTACACTCTTTCTTTGCATTCTGATATCACATTAACATTCAGCTGAGTGATACTTTCAAAAGCCCAGGGATAGATGCTAAGATTTTTAACAAAAGCCAAGTTTCTCAGATATTTGATTTCACAATATGATGCTGTGAAAATATGCAACATTTGCATAAATTTGCATAAAATTTGTACATGAGTCATGTACAGCCTCAGATTGATAGACAGTTTTTTCATACTGCCCAAGGACCATAGTTCACTGTTTTCTGAAACTGAACAGCTTGGTACACCTAGCAAAAGGTGCACTAAGTCAGGAGTGTTTCAATCATGTTGAAATCCTAAGCTGTAGAGGTAGAATGTATTTTCCCATTTGTACAGTGTAAAAGATGATGTATGAATGTTCATAAAAAGAATTACTAGGAATTAAAGGACACGATAGCATTCTCTCCAAAACACAGAATAACTCAGAGGTCTCAGCGCAAGAAAGCTCCTTCAATGAACAGTCTTCCGTGGCTGATCAGTATCCAGCCAGAATGGCAACAGCCAAATGCTGCTACTAATTCCTTGAAACTATCCCAAAAGACAGATTTCCTCCATTTGTTACAGGGTTTCTGTTTCCCTAAGTACCAAGGTTTAGATTTCCTAAACTTTTTATGTTCTTCCTAACAATGGAGCCATTTTTACTGTCCACATGAGCACTTAATCCTTTCACTCTTCTTTCTTAGTCTGACACACTACAGCACAGGTCCAATTGTCAAGGGCACCGTACAAGGAACTATGCCTTAGATTCAAAAAATATGTAAATAGTTTAAATGTGTTATTCAATTCAACACAATAACCCCCGGTTCTTGTATTACAACTTTAGGTAAGAGGTGCACTGACTTGATCTTTTTACTTCGTTTATAACTCACTGTACATTCTGATTTATCATCTAAGCCACTTTAATTATTTTTTCCACATAGCTTTTCCAGACATTTATGTTTCTTGTCTCAGAGTCCCTCTGTGACTGTTAAATCTTTCTCAGATATGATATACCCAACCTGAAATACCATAATCGATTCTAGAACACTACTGACTTACTTGAGAGAGATTATAACTTTTAGGGTATTTATTTTTACCCAATCTCCTAAGTGAAGATTTTCACTAAGCTATCCGCATATGGTAAACAGGTCATTTTCCCAGCTGATCACAATTAATTTAGGTTCACTACTGAAGAGAATATAGTGCTCTAAATATTCCTGACATTATAAATTACACCACTTTCATCAACAATTAATTTTATCTGTCATGGTGTTAGCAGTTCACCTAGCTGCAGAAGAGCTCTCAGAAGCTTCTAGCAGTCTTCTTCAGGCATAACAAAATTATTTTATCTCACTAGAAAATTTTGGTTTTACTATATGTTATTGGTCACATATTAAATAACATCAGACCTAAGATCCACCTCTGGAAAATCCAAGCTGTTATAACCTGAAGGAAGGTGATTTTTAGAAAGTACGTGTGTGATTTTAAACGTCTGACTGAGACTCATAGTGAAATCCCTCATCCCACGAGAAAGAGCATAAAGAAAGCTTGACTTAACCTAAAACAAATGAGATACAGTAGTTACACAACCACTGTCTGAGCAATAATAGCAGGACACTTCTCATACAGGAGCCAAAGATGGTCTGATTTAGGAAGAAAGACTAGTAAAAAAACTGAAGACACTCCTAAGTTTTTAGCCAGCTGTGCCAGTCTACAGGTCTTAAAATGAATGCCTTCTCCTGGCAGTTTCTCAGGGACATCCAGGAAAAGGGACATTCTGAAAGATCAGATTCATGCCCCTCCCACATCACAGCCACTGCATCACTTTAATTCCACCAGATACCTATCACACTGTATCTTAAAAACTGTTAGATATTTTGTTTCCACCTCTCCTGTTAAAAAGTTGGTCCCTGACCATGAGCAATCAGCTTGTGGAACATTTTTTAATTTTTAGTCTACAGTTTACTGTATTTGTGTCATGTCTGAACATTTGTCAGTTACTTTCTTTGCTGGTATGAAAGAAATATACAATAAATATTTATACTATACAATATATATTTACTATATTCCATACATACTATAAAGTATATAGATTCCTAAAGAATTACAACACTGTACTCTTACTTCTTTGTCAGCACTGGACATACCTCAGCTGTGTTGCTATCACATTTGTGATTTTTAGGATTATATCTGCAAGGGTAGTCCTATAATTTAATTTTAAATGCTTGTTTACCAGGCTTTATTATGTTAACAGTTAAAAAAAAAAAATAAAAAGAAATAAAAAAGAAATCTGTTACAATTTAGGACAAAAATACAAGTAGCACAAAAGTGGTGCTAAAGGATATATAAGCCCATCTTGGCATTCACTGTGTTAGAGGAATATTAGAAAATCAGAAAATGGCAACATGATAAAAATCACAAAAATTAAAGGAAATTAAAAAAACGAATTGTTGCTTCCAAAAACAAACGTGAAAGTGAGCTTGCTACCAGTCAATAAACAATAGGAAGCATGTGTTTATCTTGCATACAAGATATCAGATTATCTCATATAATTTCAGATTAGCAATAAGATTATAAAAGACGATGCTTCCCTATAGCAAATCCATACTTTGTTTTGAAATTCCTGTCTAAAGATGTCCCAAAACCTTTGAAATATCAATAAATCAGGTGAGATTATCACCCTCATAGCCTGATCATGTGTTAGTGTTCTTTAGGAGAAAACTTTTGTATTTCAATTATTTTTCTTCTCGTCTATCATCCACACCATTTTAAGTTCCATACCTTTCTTTTTCCTGTCACAAAAATTCCACGTCACACCTGAAGTAAACTATTCTTACCTATCCACACTTTAGAAATATTTTTTTTTAACTCTACCGTTTATGTTTTCTTCAGGCAGGTCCACTGCAGTTTCTTGCTTCCCAGAACACATCTAAAAATACTGGTCAGTTATCCTCTGCTGAACATGTCCACTCATGTCTTTTCCTACTTGCTTCCACCAATTCCTAAACTCCCAGTTTCTAGTACGAAATACTGTCAGGAGCTCCCAGTGCAGGATATGTGCCATCTGGTTTTAAATTTTATTTATGTTCATGCCAATATACTTCAATTGTTATTAAACCTCACAATTTTAATATAAATCTTGCAATTGTCACTGCTTTTCTTAAAGGCATATATGCCCTTATCAAGCCAACTGTAAGTTTTTAGGGTTTTTTTGGTTGTGGCTGGAGAAAGCTTCAATGTATGCCTTTAAAAATCATAGAATCGTAGAATGGTTTGAGTTGGAAGGGACCTAAGAGATCACCTCGTTCCAACCCCCCTGCCATGGGCAGGGACACCTTCCACTGGACCAGGTTGCTCAAAGCGCCATCCAGAGCCCAGCCTTGAACACTTCGAGGGATGGGGCATCCACAACTTCTCTGGGCAACCTGCTGTAGTGCCTCACCACCCTCACAGTCAAGAATTCTT